GCCATAAAAAAAATAAAACGCTTGAAAAGGTGGCTTATTGTTGCATGTTATAGGCTAGGCCTAGTTCTAACACATATTTTGGCACTATAGTCACATTAATGTCACAAATTATGAAAGGCTTGAAACTTACATTTCATAATTCGCTGATGTTTTTCAGCAGGTCACACATACTTATTCATTATATCTGGCTTTTTTTTAACACATTTTATTCCCGTATACAGAGCCCATGACGTGCCGAACATTAAGTGAAACATTTTTTATCCTTCCTTTGTATTAATTAAAACTGGATAGCGGCAGACAGCCAAGTTGATCACGTTTGATCAATTTAGCCAGTTTTCCACGACTTGCTTAAAATCAAATCTATATCTAGATATAAAACACTTAAAGCAATTACAATGTTAGTTTAAACATTTAAAATGCTCTGTTAGGCGTATATATAAGCGTTTGTGCAGAGAGTGGAAGCTGAAGCGCGCTTATTAATGCACGGAGGCGCCAGCGCGATCACTTCATTCTGTTCTTCATAACATTGGAAACAACTTGAAATACGCCGTCATTTTTGACTAATATTTCATTCGGCACTGTAAATGGTGCACCCTTATTTTTGTGTGCACTCACAATATCAACAAAACTCTGTGCTTTTGTAAACGACTTAAAAAAGTCGTAGTTGTTATTACGGCAAAAAAGTGTTTTTGTTGCGTTAATCATTTTTATGTGAGGTTGAAAAATAAACGGTGCTATTATCATCTGTGCTATAAGTCAGTTTAGCTGTAGGCTATTCATCAAAAGCAGCATCAGAAAGCAGCGTGCTCAGTCCAGTTCATTATGAAAAAATATATATATATTAGGCCTATATAAGATCAGCATTTGAACACTATAATAAACACACAAGAATTATCTGCATGATGCCACTGTTATTTCTATAATTGCGAAGTGAGATGAATGAAGAGCGCGTCTGTCTTGCATACGCAGACACGCAATGTTTATCAAGTTAATCCATGGTCCAGTGGTAGAAGCTAGTCAGTGATTTCTGCGACACAGGTTCAAATCCCGGATCGTGGTGTTTTTTAAATTTTTTTACGCTGCAGTCGTTTCGTCAATACAAATGTTAAAATATGTTGCAGTAATAAGAAACTGTCCCCGAGACTTGATGTAGGCCTAATCATTTTTAGTTTCATTATTGGGCAATTCCAGCGTTACTGACGTGACATTCACGGTCAAAACCTGAACTATAAATTCTCACAGAATGTATTCATTACCAATATACTGAACCATCTCTTTATGTTTTTCTAAATCCCAAACAGAGTCCAGACATCAGAAAAGTATCCGTCTATGAATGTGTTTTATAGGCTATTTTAGATTTGGGAAATAGGCTACACATGCATTAGGCTACGGACGAGAAAATAAATAAATAAATAAATAAAAGACCCGAGTCATGTACAAACATGTAAGTGTATCAGTTTATTTTGTGCCATGTAACTTTGCACTTACTTTGTAAATAGTTAACTAGTGGTGAAATTATGGGCTGTTGTTAAATGCTAATACTAGTTGTTTGTTTTGTAGAAGAACTCTTTGTTTTCTTCTTTATCCTGAATGCCTCATCAATGGACTAAGAAATAACTCAATCTGTGCTCATCGTTGGGACTTATCAACATCAAAGAATTGCAACGCACTTTATGTTTTATGGAAGCTCGGATTGCCGATTGGTTGCGATACTCTTGCTATCGGACGATTGGATTTTTTTCACCTTCTATCATCATCAAGGACTTCAGTATTCGGATTCACCCTTACGAAAAAGAAGTTTATTCAAGTGTGCTATTAGTATACTTCTTTTAAACTTTTAGTCTACTTTTTATGTACTTCTCAGAAATGGGGTTTATGTACTTCTCAGAAATATACTTAAAATGACATTTAAGTATACTTGACTTATACTTAGAAAAAGTCTGAATATATTTGAGCTATACTTGTGCTCCTAGAATGCGTGTTTTCATTGTTATACTGTAGGGGGCGCTAGTACACAGCTTCTGTACAGAATTTTCAAAAAACACAAGTGAAGAAGAAACCGAAACAACAGATGC